GTCTGAAAAAACCAATGCTTCAGAACTTTCTGAGCTAAATCTCACATTCTAGGACATTTTAATACTTTCTGAGGTGGTTGTAACAATTTGAGGGAAAATTAGTGATGTCAATAATACAGAACTCTCTCCGGTCCTAAAATTAACAAAAGTTTAGTAAAATAGAATTTAGAAGTGCTATTGGTCATGTTGGTTCTCCATGTGGGCATGGTAGGCCCATTTACACAAGTTGCATTTTTACTTTTTTATTACAATTAGTATTTTCTAACAGTGCCTAACATGTTTAACAGAAATAAAACCTTTTAGGCCCAACACGGGCATGACAAGGAAACATTTTGGAAAGAGTTCTGGGGCGTGGCCTATACATGTACATGTATGGGCAACACTGATTTCCCTTAAAATGTTACAACAGCCATGACAGCTGTCAGAAGGTGATGACACGTCCTAAAAAGTGAAATTTAGTAAAGAAAATTCCAATGCATTTAGGCCTACTGAGGAAAACAGTTTTTTCAGACAAGTCATACTCATAATACATGAATATATGTAGGCTTACATGTAGTTCACAGGGGCATCAAGTCATGAAAGATGTTATGAAGCTCTTTGAACATGTTAGGCTAATCTTTCTTTTCCTCAGTCCAGAATTAGCACATTTACTGATTCAGACGTTAGCCCAGAAATAACTGACGATGTCCGTGAGTACATGACCAAAATTAAGATGCACTAGCTGAAACAAAAATCACGGTCCAAAGTTCTAGTGTTATTTCGCCTACAAGTACAATGTGGCATACACGGGCACAAACGGGGTTTTCCATCTCATTTGCTTGCATGCACTTCGCACGACACTGCCAGCCTACAAATAGTACAGTTATAAGTAACGTTACAGCATCTAAACACACACAAAGTCGAGATTAAATGAAAGAAATACACCGATGAAAAGAAAAAGGGCTTACAGGCAGTTCTGGGGCGATTTCTGTCGAGCATTTGTGGCAAAAATACTTCGCAGAAGTCGGTCTAGAATCTACAACGGCTTCCGCCATATTTGATGTACATATATAAGCCTGAATTACTGCAATGCTGTTTTCACTGAGGTATGCAAATACGTAGAACAGCACGTAACGCACCACCGTACCAGGATGTACGGAAGCGTATACAGTACATGACTGAAAAAAAAATTGGGCCTGCTTTTTCGCCCGGGCGGATTAGTGTTTCCGCCCGGACGAGATACTAGTCCGCCCAGGCGAAATACTAATCAGCCCGGGCAGGGCCGCCCCAATATTTTTTCATTCATGTATATACTAAGGATGTCACGGGTGAGATGTTAAACTTTTGCTAGTCGATTGAGTCGCCGATGCTGATTAGTTGCCCACGGCCGGCCACAAACACAGTGCAGCATTGTATAGGATGGTGACTACGGGGAGACGGAACCCAGAAAAAACTCATAGACCGCCGGGTCCGGGCTATTCAAAACTACAGGAGGTTTTCGTGATCTGCGCGGCTCCCTACTAAAATCAAAACTATAGGCAAATTCACCTCTCGGTACAAGGGAATTTACGCACAGTTGAAGACTTCCAGCCAAAAAATTCTATGCAGCCATCTTTCGATTGTAAAAAAAAGCTATATTTACTTAATCTGGCCCATAGGGATTCAAAACAATGCGATTGCAACATTTAAAAAGGAGAGATAGCAGTACCGAAGAGCAAAAAAAGGTGAGCATGTTTGGAAGAACGTGTAAACAAATACAGGCAATTTAAATGCATTGCGCGTGATGCGCACAGGACGTGGTGCCATTCGTCGCTTCCATTGATCTCCATCTATCAGGTTCGTAAGTGACTTATTCACAAAGGCGGACGCGCAACGATTTGCAGGCTCCCATCGGACGATCACTGAAATTGCGTCGGTTCCATCCGGTGGAAAATGGTTTCTGTTACAAAACTCTGAAGTTCCGCAGTTTGACTAAGACCCCGTAAAAAGGGGGGCAATAAAAACTAACTCATTTAAATTTTTCTATGGTCTTAGATCATTTCATGTGATTTTCTGGTTGTCAGTGTTTGGAGTGTGCTCTATTGCGTTGCTCGGGCAGTGAGCAACTCCCAGTGGCGTATCCAGCGGATGATGGGATGGGGGATGGTATTTTGCCCCCCCCCCCGGATTTTTTTTTAAAGAAAATATCAAAAATGAGTAGTAAAGAAAGTATTCAGCACATTTGATTATCAAATATTAGCACCAAAACCCTAAGAAAACAACACCAGCAAATAAAAGCAAGGATTTCGGGACCGTGAGTAAACTTGTTGATTTTTTTCTCCCCTACATCTTGTTGAATGAGCCCGAAGCCGCATTTGCTTTTGAATTTGTCGCCCTGACACCAAAGCCGGATACGCCGCCGCCGGCTCCCAGCGCGACCATTCGCTGTTTTCGCTATCTATTCCTCGCCCGCTATTAGCTTTCCATCGGCTCTGCATTAAAAAAACTCTCGAAAGTCTCACTACCCACTATAAACTACTAGTATTCCTATTTGATCTTTTATCTTTGCCGGCATTCAGGAGTGGGTAGTTGTTTTTCTCTGTCTTTGGCTCATTTCAATTTAGACATATTAGCAGTCAGCGAAGTGCACGTGGGCGAAATGGCAAATGGGCGAAGTATCAACTGGGCGAAGTAGCAAACGGACGAAATGGCAATTAGGCGAAGTGGTTGTGGACGAAGTGACTGTAAAGTAAACTTACATGTATGTGACACTATTTTCATGAGATCTCCTATTGTCCTTCGTGATTGAAAAAATAAACACAAAACATTCAATACCTTAATTATAATAATTTGGCTATTTTTCGTTTTGGGGGCTTTTAAAGATAAACATGATGATACATAAGGGGTTAATATTAATGTTTTTTAAGGCATTAAAATTCTGTCAAGTGTCAAAGGTCGATACACTTACGATTTTTACACGGTTGAGTCGGTCTATTCTGATTTTTTCAATCTCCAGATCTTTGACTTTGAGAGAAAACACCAAGAATCTGTTGTGAGGTAAGTGAAGCAAGTCTTTTCTCGGTGGTTTCAAGGTGATGTAAGCTTGAATGATTTAAGTATGAACAGCAAAAATGGCAGATTTACGTTGCCAGCTGCAGTGCTGGCTACTGCTACTAGTACGTATCTATCTGTGCAGTCTACATACCCCCGTCCGACGTCCGCCCCGCTCCCACTGTAGTGTCATGACTGTAGCGCGTAAGCCTGAAGAAACCTGTAATGTTAGAGAGGAAACTATGAAAAAAGTAACAGTTTTACTGGCAAAGGGGAAATAATCCAAGAAGAATATTCTGGCTGGGTTATGTGGATAAAACCCATGGAATAATCAGGTTGGCACAGAAAACCCAGTCCACATGCAGACATGTGGACTGAGCCAGGAATCAAATCCAGGCCGCAGAAGTGAAAGGTGAGCATGGTGAGGAAAGAAGCACCATGCCAGCCTGACTGTCTGAGTTCAGTTCACCCAGCTTTCCCATGCCTAACCTGTATTAACAACCAAATGACCCTACAGCCTGCCTAAGAAAATGCTGCACATCTGTGACTTCAGCAGTTATGGCAGTGAAATAAAAAGTCAAGACATAAAAGACAAACAAAAAATTAACTAAACATACATTTTCAGGTGACGTTTGCCTTTTTTAAAAAGTAGCCAGCCTGGTTGGGGATTCCCCATCCATCTCACCATGTCTGGACACAAAAAGCTATTTTTGTATCTGGCAGTACGCTGGTGAAACTGTCTGAGAGGTGAACTGGGGTTGCCCCTAGAGCTGTTCTCTTTGGGAAGGAAAAAACACTGTTTTACTGACAGCATCAAATGCACTTAATAAATTGTATTTACCTCTTTTGGAAAGAATGTTTCATCCTGTGCCCATTGTTTTTATCACACTTGTAAATATCATCCCAACAACGGTCAGTTGTTGCAGAAATACTGCAAAGACATGAATCTAGGACTGATCTGGGAGATAAAAATATCCAATTCTGTCACGAAATACTTGGAAAAGTTTGTTCACTCCCTGTAGACTTTGTACAAAAAAACACTGAATTGGAGTCAAGATGCAGCATTCATTCACCTTCTTTATTCTATCACCTTTTAAAAAAAAAAATTAATACAGGACGGACCACTTTAACGCCAAGTGTCTGGAGCCAGGAGCAAATGCCGTGGACCATTTCTTCAAAAGCCTTATCTAGTGCCCAGAGTCCTCTGCCTTTAAAGACTGTGCCCTGCCCTGGTGCTCTCTGGCTGTCTTCTCAGCCACTGGCTGGTGCATGATGGGAAGTTCCAGCGTCGGTCAGTGTTGTGGGCTCGTCTGGGCCTTCTGTAGAATTGGTGCTCACAAGGTGATGCATTAAGAGAACAAGTTGATGGCACGGTTACTGAGTGACACCAAATTTTCCCCTGAATGTAACTGATTAATCAAGTGCACAATTTTGGAAAGCCTGATTTTCCAATTGCCCCATTTCTCAGGTGCTTTATCATTGAGTCATACATGTATGTCACCAAACCGGCTCTTTGAGTTGATCACTTTTTCTAAAACAATCTTATTGCAGAAACCATGTTTCAAAAGTTTGAATTGCAAATTAGAACCATGCAGACTGTGTACAAGGTGTAGGAGTAAGGGACTTTAATTTAAACATATTCATTGAGAACAGGAATTACCCCCCCCCCCAAAAGGGCCCCTGGATTGTTTTCTGGATTCCGTAGTGTCATTGGCTGGCCAGAATGGGACGGCCAATACTGCAATGGCACAGCACTTGTGGACTGATTATAATAATAATTATATTTATTTAGGCATTCCTATTAAAATGCAATACAATTAAAAATCTGACAAGAAAATTGACATTAGCAGGATGTCCAGGAGAACAGAGAAGTTTGTCGCCACAAGGCATACTTTGTGTCTCCCAAAACCCAGACTACAATTAAGGCAAGAAAGGTCACTTAAAGAATAAACTAAACAGCTGCCAGAACGACAAACGTTGGGCAGAGTTGATTTTTAAAATTCCGGGGGGGGGAGTGATTGTAAGCATAAGCATGAGGTGATATGAATATGTGACATGCCTCTTTGGCTCACAGGGCGTCAGGAGTTGCCAAACTTTTAAACACAGACTTGACGCTTGTGAATGTGGTGCCCCGTGCCACACATTTTTGATGCGTCCTCCAGATTAGTCTATAAATTTGTCTCAATCTGTTCCAGGTAACGTGAAAATTGTGTGCATAGAGAGTGAAGGAAACGGAAAGGGAGGGACAGAGTGCTCTGAATACTGAAGATGCACCGAAGCTGCCGTTGTGTCATGTTTGTATGTTTTCTCCCTTCTCTGTCACAGTGTTGCCAGAAGCTGTGCTGCAGAAGCGAGTCCCCACCTCGACCCCAGTACACAGTCGTCTGTCTGGGTCTCTCCGGTGCCGGCAAAACAACTCTTGTCACCCTGCTGTGCGGGGAGAAGACGGAGGAGATTGTCCCTACAGTTGGTTAGACGAAATTTGTCCACGCTGCTCTTTATTACAGCAAGGAGCTTGTACTTTTGATCCTGCTGGAGGTGTTGGATTCAGTGCAGCAATAAGCATGGGCGTCACAAGGGGGAGCCAGGGGACTCTTTCCCAACCCACCTCCAGGAAGAATGTTTAAGATGGAGATAGAAAAAGGGATAAAACTCTATCCTACGCTCTGTTCTCAGCTGCTGTGAACCATTGATTAGCCCAAATAGATCTTCTCCTATAGTGCCTTGTATGCCAACTTCAGGAATTGACTTTTGTCATTCTCCATGGGCAATTTTTTACTCTAAATAGCACATTATAAAAAAAAAATTTTTTAAATCCACCACTTTTTAAAAATACTTTGGAATTGACCCACTTCCATTGTAAATAGTTCGTCGGTTTGCTACTGATAAGTGCTTTATCTCCCCCCCTGGAAAAAGCTTTGCCCCCATCTTGGCGACACCCATGGTGATACATTGCATGTGTTGCATCAGTCGTCCAAGTGGTGGAGTTAAATAACTCAAGCCTCACGTACAAATGGATGACAACGTTAAATTTGCTGTGTGGCAGCACCAAAGTGCACTCATCTGAGGCACACATTGGTGAACTGCGCACTTAAGTGTGTATTTGCCT